CTAAATTGAAAACAACGTTCAAACCTATGATTGCGTTGGATAAAAACCGCAATTTTTATACGTGTGCATGTAAAACAAATTTCTTGGTAGAGGGGTCTAAATACAGCACAAACAACATTTTCCAAAAGACCAAAAGAGTGAAAAAGTATATTTTAACAAAACGCATTTGACTAACAAGTCGAACAACGGATGTTCTTAAACCCTGCTGACTGCCATTGGCGATTGCCAAATAAATTGATCACCAGATTTAACAAAATGGATCTTCATATTAATTTAATACCAAACAGAAAACAATTAACTTGCGGAAAGATGGTATTCCACAAATTTGAGGTGCAAAAATTTGTACACCATATCCGGATTTCGACAATTAATGTCTCTTCAGTGATGTTAGGGATCGAAACGGTATTTGGAAGGCCATATAATTTACCTCAATTTAGGATAGACTCTTGAATTTTAAAGAGTCGAAATAGGATGAATGGATCATATAAACCCTAAGGCAAATATAATACAAGCCCAAACGAAAAAATATAAACAAGTCTAAATTGAAAACAACGTTCAAACCTATGATTGCGTTGGATAAAAACCGCAATTTTTATACGTGTGCATGTAAAACAAATTTCTTGGTAGAGGGGTCTAAATACAGCACAAACAACATTTTCCAAAAGACCAAAAGAGTGAAAAAGTATATTTTAACAAAACGCATTTGACTGACAGGTCGAACAACGGATGTTCTTAAACCCTGCTTACTGCCATTGGCGATTGCCAAATAAATTGATCACCAGATTTAACAAAATAGATCCTAATATTAATTTAATACCAAACAGAAAACAATTAACTTGCGGAAAGATGGTATTCCACAAATTTGAGGTGCAAAAATTTTTACACCATATCCGGATTTCGACAATTAATGTCTCTTCAGTGATGTTAGGGATCGAAACGGTATTTGGAAGGCCATATAATTTACCTCAATTTAGGATAGACGCTTGAATTTTAAAGAGTCGAAATAGGATGAACGGATCATATAAACCCTAAGGCAAATATAATACAAGCCCAAACGAAAAAATATAAACAAGTTTAAATTGAAAACAACGTTCAAACCTATGATTGCGTTGGATAAAAACCGCAATTTTTATACGTGTGCATGTAAAACAAATTTCTTGGTAGAGGGGTCTAAATACAGCACAAACAACATTTTCCAAAAGACCAAAAGAGTGAAAAAGTATATTTTAACAAAACGCATTTGACTAACAGGTCGAACAACGGATGTTCTTAAACCCTGCTGACTGCCATTGGCGATTGCCAAATAAATTGATCACCAGATTTAACAAAATAGATCTTAATATTAATTTAATACCAAAAAGAAAACAATTAACTTGCGGAAAGATGGAATTCCACAAATTTGAGGTGCAAAAATTTGTACACCATATCCGGATTTCGACAATTAATGTCTCTTCAGTGATGTTAGGGATCGAAACGGTATTTGGAAGGCTATATTATTTACCTCAATTTAGGATAGACTCTTGAATTTTAAAGAGTCGAAATAGGATGAACGGATCATATAAACCCTAAGGCAAATATAATACAAGCCCAAACGAAAAAATATAAACAAGTTTAAATTGAAAACAACGTTCAAACCTATGATTGCGTTGGATAAAAACCGCAATATATATATATAGTCAAAACATCATAAGAACCACCGTAAAGTCGGATATTGAAGTCTCGGACATGAAACATTGTAAACCACATCGAACAAAGAAACCAAAAATAAATATATACGACGAAAACCGCTGAATAACAGGCTACTTACAGACACAAATTAAATGTGGCTTGTTGCAACGTGTTTCTGAGCGCTAAACCGCCCTCTTTACATTTGGCAGTGACATAACAACACAACTGTTAAGATTAATGAGCAATGGCTTGACTTATCAGATAAACAGGAAGCACGAAATAACAACAAACATAATTATTAAATGGTTCTTATTGAAAATTCATTTAAACATGAGCTCCATTTCCGTTTGAAAAGATGTATGGTGTACATCAAAGAGACAAAAACTAAACTGCTCAAAATAAACAAAGGACATTTGGGTAAGCAAACTTAACTTAACATTAATATTGTGTTTGCTGTTCTGTTTAGACTCTTTAAGTTTATTTTTCCTGTAATGTGGCCTTTTTCGTTTTTCTTTTTAATATTTGCCGTGACCTGAACCTATAAATGCATATATTGTTCACACGGAACCTATCACGTGCTTCAGTCAGTGATAAGTTGTGAATTATTTGTTTGATACAACTTGTATACATTATAGATATTCAGTTGATACTATATATGAAACTAAAGTAAAACAAAGTGAGCAGCTCATCCTCTAAAAGCCACTGTTTCGGTTCTGTTATAATTCATCAAAGGCTGAAACTGTTCAGTCAAGTTGAAAACGAACGGATTCAGTATTTCATTTTGTAGGATCTATTATACCGCAGTCCCACTAGGCCACGATCGCACTACGATCTGTGAAAAAAATGAAAATTTTGACGATCGTAGTGCAATTGTGCAGATCGCAGTAAGGTCGTAGAACGGTCGTGGTGAGGTTTCATGATCGTGATGAGCGTTGCAAACTTTGAACATGTTCGAAACAATCGTGGTGTGGTTGTGGCGAAATCAGGTCGTAGTAGAAGCGTAGTGAGAGCGTAGTAAAAACATGGTAAGATCGCAAAGGTCGCTGTACCATCGTCACGACAGCATAGCGAAAGCGCGATTCTAGTCGGGGAGACTGCGCTACGATCTCACAGCGACTTTACTACGACCATCACGTTCTTACCGCGACCCAAACACGCTTTCACTACGACTATACCACGTTTATACCACGCTGTTCAAGACCATAGTACGATTTTAGCACGCCCATGCCGTCCTCATCACGACTCGACTACGTTCATACTATGATCATCATCATGGTCGGTCCGACATATATCTTCTGGGTCATGATTTGTTACTATCAGATCTCCATCTACCTCTACCCTTACCCTTACGTAGATTTTGGTTGCATGAATATTCTATGACCCAGCATTGTTTTAAATTTTGTTTGTTAATAAATTTACATATAATGGAAATAACAGATTTGTTGACACTCGTAGTATTATAACAAAGATATTGCCTTTCTATTTCCATGTTTGAAATTTTAATGAAAATCGTGTTTTTTATAAACATATTTTACTAATTGTGTCAATCAATACACGAAAATCAAAGTTTAACACTATTCATGATCAGCCGTCTTTACTTTTGCGTCGTATTTCTAGCCATTCTCTAAAGCTCGTGCAGTCAGTAAGATTTTGTAAATCGATGTCGGCAGTTTAAATTGTATAATTCCCGAACTTTAAAGGAGGTGTCCGAATAAATTATTTAAATAGGTATCTGGGCGTTGACTGATAAATATAATAAATAAAATAGTTAAAGAAGACTAAAGCTTGTTTTGTTTATAATTACAAGGATTAAATTTTTCTATTCTGGTAAATCAATTATTAATGGATCTCGATCAAGAGCCTCAAAACTAACGCACAATACTGCCAACATTACGTATCAAATTAAATCATGAACTGATTTTCCCACGTTCGGTCAGTAAGGTCACCTGTGTTAACTGTTACGATATTTCCCGCCACATGAAAATCACGTGCATTTGACAAAATTAATCCCAGCTATTTTTAGCATTCAACATTGTAGTGTGAGTGAAGTCAAGTTCAAAGTTCAACCACATGCTGTTGATCACATGGAATTGTCTTTTCACGGCAAATATTTTTTTTTAGATTTGTGTCAAAAATACAACATACAAGTTAACATGCATTGTGCGTAAATTAATATTATGCAATTAAGAGTCAATGCAGCACCATAAAATTATTTAAATAGGAGTAATTGCATTTCTTTAGACTACAAATCATAGTAAATATTTAATTAACTGGTCATCAAACGATTGAATGCTTCTAGTTTTAATGTCCATTCATGTCAGTGGCAATTATTTCATGCATATTTAATAAACACAGAAATATCAAAATAAACCTTATTCCCGAGAAGAATCGTTATCTTCTTCTAGTGTTATTATTTGCGTACTACTTTAGTTATACATCACCAACTTTCGGACAATATTTGTTTACAGTAAAAAGTAAATTCACAATTATAAAGAATCACTAAACTACTAGTATACAAGTATTGCTCACTGTAATTATTTTGATTTCAGAACTGACCCAACGCAGACTGCAAATTAAATACAAATGTAGTGTTGTCAAACCAAAACGTATGCAGCAGCACTTTGCACATCATTTTGCTGATCAATGGGTTTACGTGGAAAATAAATCAGTAAAACAAAAATAACCTTCCAGAAATAAAAAAGAAAATATTTTAAAAACTGTATGCCAACAAATAAGAAAAAGATACATAACAAAAAAAAATACAAGGAAACATAGAAAATAATATTTTGAGGAATATAAACAGCATTTGAAATATAAAAAGCCATAATTAAAAAAATAGGCTATTTTTATTAAAACAAAGTTGTCTCCAGTACTTCACCTGTAAAAATATTTTATATCAAATACGATGTAAAACTAATCAATAAATTGACTGAGAGGTTTAAATCACTGGTAACCTGATTCTGAAATCAGTGAAGCGTTATAATCTAGTAGCACGGATTGAGATGAAAGGACAATTATATTACCGTTCACACCTGGATCTGTTGATTAATGACCATAAACCATAAAAAAGTCGAATTATTCATTTCCGACATGTTCCAGTCCGTTTTTTATAGTAATAAGTCTCTACCCGTACTGTATTTATATGAAGTATAACATTTTACATTTTATACTTTTGACTTACAAATTTTTTCTCGAGTCTTCATTTAAGAAGGTTATTCTGAGAACTAATATTCATACAGGAATAAATTGTTCTTCAGATCTATATTTGAATACTAGTTGTAACTTGATACATGTTAATTTTATGAATAGAGAACTATTTATTGTATTTGTAGGCTTTTGTCGAAAAGCAATATCAAGCTATGAGCATTCGTCCAATCCATGTGAAATGCTACAATTGTGTGGTGCACGTAAAGAGTAAAAACAAAAAATGGATATTGTGACCTCAGATACTGCAAATCTTGTGTAACAAATATCTAGACGTTGATATATTCATATTGAGCTAAACTCGATGTAGTGTAAGTGTAGTTTACACTTAAACTAAACTCAATTACGTTCCCAATGATACAAATCAATGTTTACATAAAGTTTAAAACAGGTTTTGACTACACGCAGTCGATAGTCAATGTAGATATTGTGTTATGAATAAAGGGAATCATAGTAATTCTGTAATTCTGGTTGGATGTTGTTTTATGTTTAATCGTTTGTGGTTTTATTTCTATTTTTATTTGTTATATGTATATCTATGTAAAAGTAAAGATATAAATTACCTAGTTCATTTATATGATGTTTATTTTAATATATAGTTTAACTATATGCACAGGATTTTTCAGCTTTTACACAGTTTGATTTAGAAGAAACCCTACAAATATTTACACCATAACTAACACAATTATATTTTAATATTCTTCTGGTATAAACCATCCATCAAATGATCAATGTAGACTACAACCAATACTTGTACCAAATATCCAAGTATATATACACACTCTGAATAGACACGCCATAAAAGGCTATAATAAATACCAAAGACTTTTTAAAGTGGATAGTCGCATGACAACGCCGATGCTCTTAAGATATATCTATACATATAATATATAAGTCAAACATAAATTTCAAACAAAAAACTCTTCAAATATAAAGCTGAATTAACTTAACCAGAATTAAAATTTACCAAGAACATTTCGACTGTTAAGATTGACGGTGTCGTTCTGAATGGTTATGTAGGCAATACAATACCGTGAAAATAATTTTGAAGGGGGAAAACCTAGCGCCCTCTATGATGCATATGAGGAAAACACCAAGAAGAAATTAATTTCATTCTAATGCACCGCCCGTTTAAACGAATAAAATTACAATTCTTCTGGTATAAACCATCAATCAATGTAGACATCAACCAATACTTGTACCAAATATCCAAGTATATATCAACACTCTAAAAAGACACGCCATAAAAGGCTATAATAAATACCAAAAGAACGGGAAGCTATTTATTACTATATATGACAAATTTTAGAGTCCAAAATGTAAATAAAACAAAAAAGGTATTATTAAATTTCCAAATTCTGAGAAACTATCATACGTTTTGATAAATCGTCTTTCACATAGCCATCATTTGAAGTGTTCGACTTCCAACGTTCATGACGTTTAAAAAGTCTGTCTGAAACACCAAATCTCGCTGCAGATGTAGCACCACCAGATCGTAAACTATGTAATCCGTATGATTTTATATCAGGAACAAAAAAAAAGCATCTTTGAAAATTTCACTCATCCTTGTATAGCTTAAAGGCTTATTTGTTGATCGAAAAACAAATTTTCCTTTCGCTTGCGACACATTCCTTTATAAATATAATGCCACTCCATTGCATATATAATTCCAAATTTCGAACTGGACACACGTTGTGCCGATCTTCGCAATAATCAAACAGTTCCCATCTCTGTAAATATCCGTCTTGCTGTTTTCGTGAAAATTGAAATGTGTGATGATTTAAAATTAATATCATAATAACGCAAATTTAATAATTCTGATACACGCATAAAACCTGCATATCCCATTATACACACACAAATGGTACGTTGTGGAAAAAATATTATCGACACAAAATAACGTTAACTAATTATACATAGTCTGTAATAACTCATTTAACGGAGTTGTCGGCTCTTTCGTCCTGATTTGTGAGCCTAATTTCCTTTTAGCAACTTCAAAAATACATTTCAATAATTTAGAATCAGTAGGAGAATCTGCACCAGTAATTGAGTGCGCCCAATATACTATAATATGCATCACAGACGGGACTAGACGTAGCAGAAAATTGCAGTAAAGAAGCTAAATATAAAACTACAAATAACGGTTTTGTCGGTAAAATATCGACACCAGAAATGTGGTTGTTTTCCGCCCACTTTTTCCATCGCAAAAGACCATAGTAGTATTTCTTCACTGTGTTGTCAAATCAGGAATGATGGTTAAATAACTGTCAAATTCATTTGGTAACTCTGCAATATCGTTTCTGAACACATGGAAAAATATATGTAATAAAATAATTTTAAATTAATATGTGGTTCCTTCCAAGTTTTGACATAGCTCATCAATACAATACATCATACACCAATGAAATGAAAAAAATACAATATACTATTTGCAATACAAAATAAACTCACCATAGATACCAGGATTAAATTTTGTATATACGCCAGACGCGCGTTTCGTCTACAAAAGACTCATTAGTGATGCTCGAATCCAAAAAAGTTAAAAAGGCAAAAAAAAAGTACGAAGTTGAAGAACATTTAAGACCAACATTCCTAAAAGTTTTGCCAAATACAGCTAAGGTAATCTATTCCTGAGGTAAAAGGCTTAGTATTTCAAAAAATTCAATAGTTTTGTAAACAGTTAATTTATCAATATGACCATGTCAATGATAATTCATGTCAGCACACAAATGTCAACCAATACATGAAAAACTACTACCAAGTTAATTCTTATTGTTAATTTAATGTCTCCCTGAAGTCCATTCTAAGAGCCAACACCTTAAATTGTAAATCAATATTACCAAAAACCGATTTATTCCCTCGACCAGCTAAACAGTTAGCTTTGTTAGTAGGTAGGTAATGGAAACCCAACACCTGGTCAATAAATCTATCGCCTTTGGGACACAAAAACGGCCAGTAAATCGCCGATCTCCACAAAGGTAAATAAATAAAGGCAACAGTAGTATACCGCTGTTCGAAATTCATAAATCGATTGAGAAAAAACAAATCCGGGTTACAAACTAAAACTGAGGTAAACACATTAAATATAAGAGGAGAAGTACGACACAACAGAAACACAACATTAAAATGTAACACACACAGAAACGAACTATAATATAACAATGGCCATTTTCCTGACTTAGTACAGGACATTTTAAGAGAAAAATGGTTGGTTGAACCTGGTACAGTACCATATGCGTTGCAATGCTTCATATACATAAGTACTTTCAATAATAGGCAAACTGGGGGAACATATGCATATCACCCATTTATACCTTGCCAATTGACAGTGAACGCATCAATACCCATTTATTGTACATTCCAATACCTGGAGTAAAATACAGGTAATCGATGGTTATGATCACAAGCAAACCAGTCAATTTCATGAGGACCCCACAAGGAATCCAAATATTAAAAAAACATGTATTGCAATGCCCCAGTCATCAGTGTTTATGATACAACTAATATAGCCTGCAATTTCATTCTGAGCCATGGGTATCCTTTCAACCTCTGGGGACACGTTGTACTTTAAACAAGTCACAGAAATGGAATATATTCAATATCTTGCAAATAAGGCTTCATACTGCCATGATGAACAATTGAAACAACGTTCTGGTTATCCGTTAACCATTTAATACGTTTAGCTCTAATAAAATCTATCAGAGAATGCAATACTTATTTAACAACCGTAAGTTCTTTCCAAGTAGAACTGTGGTGTACACCGTTTTCATGCCACATACCATGAGCAATATTCTTAGGATTTTTTGATGTGGTTCATAAGTGTTTCTCTTTCTCGTTTTTTATATAGATTAGACCGTTGGTTTTCCCGTTTAAATGGTTTTAAACTAGTAATTGTTTGGGCCCTTCATAGCTTGCTGTTTGGTGTGAGCCAAGGCTCCGTGTTAAAAACCGTACTTTGACCTATAATGGTTTACTTTTATGAATTGTGACTTGGATTGAGAGTTGTCTCACTGGCACTCATACCACATCTTTTTTTTTATATAAATAATTCCAATTTTATATTGTATTTCCAAAATTAACCTATTATGTCATGTTTTGAGGCGTTGATACTTTCGTGTGACGCACAATTCATTTTTTTATTGTGCTGTATTTGTGTTCTGCATTTTTTTTTTAACAGAACTCAAAAGGAAACGGGCGTTTTCTACAGATTTCATAGGTGTACTATTTTACGTGCACTTGAAAGTAAACGTGCGATTACTTTTCGCATTAACTTATTGTGTTAATTATAGAATTAACGTCGTGTACATTTGTAATTCTATTTTGTTAAAATGACATTTATCTTTAAGTTAATATTTGACGTATATGTGTTTAAAACCATAACAATTCAAAAGCACTTTTAATCCGAACTATTAACTTTTATTATCAGCAAAAAACCCAAACAGTTCCAATACCTTAACAATACCGGATTTTCTATATTTTCTTTTCGAAAGTTACATGTCCAAATATCGATTCACAAAAATAGAAGACGCACCTTTCTTATACGTTAATACGGAAGAAAACACGAAATTAAACGCCGTTTTACTGTTAACCAAACTAGAAGACGCGCCATTGTTGCGTTAGTGCAGACGTAAACTCGAAAGTAAACGCCCGTTTACTTTTTAGGTCTACTGAAATTTCAAAGTTAACGCAGATCGAGTTAACGCGGCGTTTACATGAAGTGCACACGAGTAAAACGCCGCGTAAACTTTTCCCGCCCGTCTACATGTAATGCTTGGTCTGCACCCATCTGTTGCCTGTCACGTTATGTTGTAATTTCAGCAGTAAATTTAACATTGCCATATAAGTGGGAGGTTTGGCAAGCCAAAAAAACAGGTTAAACCCATCATAATTTCTTAAAATGTCCTAGTCCAAGTCAGGAATATGACAGTTTTATCACATAGTCCGTTTCTATGTATGTTAGGGTTTTTTTTTGTCGCAATTCAGTGTTTTTGTTGTTCCATTTTGTTTCCTCTTATAGTTGATGTGTTCCCTAACTTTTGCAACACGGATTTGTTTCAGTAAAATCGATTTATGACCACCAGTGGTATACTACTATTGCCTTTATTTATAGGCTAACGCCAATGCGACAGTCATATAACAGTGCAAGATGATTTCTAAAAGAAAATAACAAAACATACAATTGCACAGACATCTTTCTTTCCCTTTTTATTATATTGTTACAATAATTCAACATATGTCTTGTAGAATAAGTTTGTGGCTTATTAAATAAAAATAGACATTAATAATCATTCCCACTATATACAGGTCAGACATTTTTTTGGTCATAATTTACAGTAATTGATCATGAACACATGTAATGTCAATGTGACAACTCCCCATCCAAGTCAACATTTTGATTTAAAGACAATGATAGTCGGAAGAAAAAAAGAACAGAAGTAAAAATAAATCAGTAATATCAAAACCATTTCTGCTCTAACCTATTTAATAATAGATTTGTACTAGTGATAGCAATGTAGTGATATGTGTCTATCTGCTTTTATAACGTGTATAAGCTTCGAACCAATTGCCACATACA